GCTTGTAAATCAGAAAAGAAATAGAAAAGTCATGATTACTGAAGTCAGACTGTCATGTACAGGAAATGGGGAGTGGGGAGAAATGCTTTTCCAATTTCAGAAAAGACTTTCGGGGACCCCGCAGAAGTCCTCTGCCACTACTGCAGCAATTTCTGGGCTGGAACAATTTGCCGCTCTGCCAGCGGGCAGGAAGGCGTTCATACGGCGCTACCGTTAGAGCGGCAGCAATGGCCTCCTCCAGGTTCCCTCTCGGTGTTTCTCAGTTCTGGCCTTCTCTGAATTGCAGTCACCTCTGTTACTTTTGCTTGGACAGAACAGGGGCCACCTACCTTTCACAGACAGTCTACCGCATGCATGGAGCATACAGAAGTGCTTACGGTCTGCAGAAGGCTCCATGCAAACCTTCAATCAATCGCGGCTGAAAAGATATTGTGTCCATTTAAAAACGTGGGCTGAAGTTAAGCAGAGTGAAAAAACAGGATGGCTGCTTGTGGTATTAACCACGAGTGACCTCCACGCAGATTTTTCCACAACCAAGAGCCAGTAGATCTGAATCATTCAGTCTATAATGTCAAGTGGGTGGGAGATGTTTTATATCGCAGATAGAAGAAAGAAGGAAATGTTTAAATGGTTTAAAGATGTCTTAGCGTTATCTGAAGACTTCGGTAAAATTCCCAAATCTGGATATGTTCTGGAGGTTATCTGTGTCTAGGTAGTATATCTTGCAATTAAGACTGATTCTTATTGCCAAGAACTGACCATCTCTAGTTGTGGCTGACTGGTTTATCAAACCTCTGCAGACACTGATTTTCCCATATACTTGAGCAAGACTGAACTCTTCTCTCTCATTTTTATATGAGCTATAAGCTCTTTTATTTTTCTTACACCAAGCACTTTTCAAGCTTGTGATTCTTGCAGATTGAGAAGACATTAGGTGTGAATTTCAGTCCAGAATGAGAATCATGAGTAGCTTCCTCTTGCCTTTACTTCCAGAATGAAAAAAGTGAAAGCACGATTCTTGACCAAGTACCTTTTGAAGTTCACAAATCAGAGCAAGACGAAAGTATTACCCAAACAGATCTGTCAAAAGTTGACACTTAGAAATACTTCTAACACAATACGTTCTTTCCAGAAATGATGAGAATTACAGACACCTCCTCCAGCATATCACTTTCCTTAAATATCAAAGGCTGTCCTCGTATTTGTCCAACTGTCGATAGAGATCATAACTATGTTAATAGAAGTCATGCCCAGAGAAGCATTTAAAACAGAGTTTTTGCCAGGAGGTGCAAATTGAGTACAACTGAAGAGGCCAACAAGAAATACTGCTGCTTCTTCAGAGTATCAGTTTGATGATGTCTCCTACAGCTCTCACATCTCTTCCTGAACTTCCTGAAATAAAAAGCAGCTTATTTCATCTGTTCCCAGATACGACCTGCCTTGACCTAGCTTCCTCTTCACATTGAGGATTTGGGAAATTCATCAACAAAATGGTGTTTCTCTTTAAACTACTCAAGTTGCTCTTCGCAATTCAGATTTTTTTAAAAAATTAAAAAAAAAGAATTTCTTAACAATTCCTAAATAAATAATTTATTTATTTATTTATTTTTCCCCCTGAGAAAACATCTTTGGCATTTACTGAATATGTTCTGTTATTTGGGTCAGCAGAGAAAGGAATTCTGGTCTCACAAGTATCCTGTTTATCCAAAAGCTTCAGATAATTACCATTTTCTATGTTTAAAGTACAATCATCATTCAAAAAGTTGGAAGCACATATTTGGAGGCTCAGAAAGTACTCAAGGGAAAAATCACTACATGCCTCGTTCTTATATTCCTCCCTAGGCATCCACTTTTGGCCCCTGCTGGAGACACAACACTGGGCTACACAGACCTTTGATCTGACCCAGTACAATCTTGTGTCTTCTGCAAGAGTACTAAACTATTAAAAAAAAACCAAACAAACAAACTCTATCCAGTTCTGTAGAAATTTCCATTTTCCTGGCCTAAGAAAAATGTAACTGTTACTTATTAAATAGAAGAAAAAATTCAAGGAGCAGTCAGTAGCCAACTTATGAGGCTACACAGACAGAAATACCACAGTTTTATCCGAACAAGCTGTAAGATGGATTCACACAGACAACAAATCCCAGTGCTATGAGAAACTTGTGCCTTTTTTTTTTTTTTTAAAGAAGCAGTGAAACAGGAGTTGGAAAGAAGGCTGCAAGTTTTAACAGAGCAAGTTTGCTTTTTTCCAGAAGACTTGCAAATAACTAGCTACAAAAGTCACCTTTTGCCACTTAAAAACAGGGAAAGAAAAGGCTGTTGCGGAGAAAGGTATTTTTCTACCTTTTCTAACGCACCAAATTGCAATTTGCTGAGAGTAGCAGCAAATGAGGCTATGACAAGCATGTTTACAAATATATGTGTGCATATACATACAAAAATATATACATCAGCTTTATAAGTCTATAAAAATATAATGGTAATGTTTAAATAACATAGGTGAAGGGGACAAGACATTAACACTAAATACTTAAAACCAAAGTAAAAGCATTGACCTGTATACAATGTATTGCTTTTCATTTTCCTAGATATTCCAAAGGGCAATTTTTTTTTTGTGAACTGAACCTCTGATTTCTAAGACAAGATTACTCTTCCTCCTGGATACAATCCTCCTAGGGAGAGGAAAAAAATCCAGGAACTAGCAACATATTCAGGAAATTGTGAATATTTGTCTTGCAAAATACTTCGATTTTATAAGCTAAAGACTGATTTCCACATCTAAGAGTAAAAAAAAACCCCAAAACCTGGGAAATTTTTCCAACCTGTGTCTCCTTGAATTCTGTTAGTAGCCAGAAGACATCTCTGAATTTTAGTGCTTTCCTCTTACCTACTCAGAAGAATGTATTCTTTTAATCATGCTTTTAACTTTGGCTACAGTATAGCAAGTCTAATGTATGACACATTTATATAAAGTTCATTATTATTCCAGCATAAGACAGTGTAAAAAAAAAAATAAAATACAAGGACACTCAGACTGGCATGTTAAATCAAATAGTGCATATTACCTGTTGCTGTTTGAAAGCTGCAAGTTGCAAGACGATCAACCAGTGGTTAAATCAACAGAATGCAATTGAAATACTTCATCATTTAATGTTATTAAAATAAGTTCATATTTGCATACAGAATGTCATATGGCATATTATTTACAAAATAGCTCAGTGTCATATAAAATTGTTTACATTCAGTATAGGAACTTAATTATTCTAGCTACATAACAAGAAATTAAACCTATTCCCCATCTGCAAACTCTATTTCTTAAGCAAAGTTAAACAGCCTGTGTATTTTTCATCTCTTACTCTTCACTGTCCTCTATTGTCAGCTATGATAGCCTCCAGCCAAGGAAAGACAAACCACTACCTCTGCTTCTGCCTCACAACTGGCAAACCATTTCTCCCTGCAAACAGGTAAAAGACCAACATTGATGTGAACATTGTTAAACATGACTGCCTTTTATATATGTATAAAATTCATCTTTTTACCTTACCTAAATTAACTTAACCTTGGTTAATCTGTTACTGAGCTTCCATACCTGGCCTCTTCAACTTTCATTTGTTGCAATTTCAGGCTTGGGTACATTTATGATTAAGCTTATTGAATACATGAGCTGTTGGAAAACAGAAATATTTGAATGGAGTAGGGCTTGCATAGAATTTGCTTTCGTTCAGCATCAAAGAATTTTGGCAAGAATGGGTGAATGACAACTTTAGTGAACTCTATTTCTTGTCTTACTACTCAAACTTGATTTTACATAAAGACATGAAATTACACACATGAAATCAATGGGCATTTCTGAAGTAATAGAACTAAAATATTTGCGGTTGGAGAATTATCTTCTCTTAAAAATAAGTTAGAAGTATATTTGACATACAAGAATTATGCCATTAATAGTGGCAGAACTCTACACATTCTTCCATTTTCCTGAAGACATAAAGTACTGCTCATGTAAAAATAAGGCTGGTAAAAAACTTGAGGTAAACACTTCAGCCAATATTTTGGTCTATAAAGTTTATGCAGAAAGATCATAAAACTAAATTCTTTTCAAGAAACTCAGGATGAACAGAGTATCACAAGTTTGCTTAAGAAGCTGACAGAATGCAAGTAAGTGCTTCTAACTACTATGGGAACTGGACTAAGAACTCAACAAGTCCACTGAAAGAACACATAGCATGTAAAATATGGCAGGTGCTCCCAAAATACCAGTGCAAAAGGGTATCACCTCCTCTGTTCCAATTAGAAGCTTTAAATGAACTGCTATTACAGACATTAACAGAATACATTAATAGCGTGTGCTGATTTTCATAAGCTTTCAGTATATTTAGAAACTCAAATTTAGTATCGGGTCACTTAAGTTTAGCAATATACACTTGTACTCAATGTTTTTGCTGTTGCAGTCCAGGGAACAGAAGCTGAAAACATCCACTAATAATACAAAAAGTAAAGATGGCCTTTCATTTGTACGTTATTAGCTATATGTTTCAAAACTAGTCTTTGCAATTAAGATATACAGGCTTATATACATGTATATGCAATCCTCAGATCACTATAAATCTAAATCAGAGAAGTAAAACTGTAAGCCTGTGTAATGCATGGAACAGAATACACTGATTTGAAGAATAACCATTTTTTCAGGCCTCAGATGAAGAAGATGCCAATTATAACCCACTAATTTCATACCCAAAGTGTCCACAACTGTGCTCTGTCACATCTACATTTAATGTGTTACATGTACACTGTAGCAGCACATAACAAAACTCCATTTGCCACCGTGACCCAACAAGCTGCACGTTTCCTGGCTGTGATTTGCAATTATTAGAATCCAAATTTTAAAGTTTGTCACGCATTTTCTGCTGTCCTTCCCTTCAGGATAAAAAACCAAACCAAACCAAACCAAAAAAACTCTAACTGTATCATGGATGTGGATGCAGTGAAAAATAATTTTATTCCTCTGTTACAGAAGACTTCCTAGGTCTGAGAACAAGATCCTTGATAGAGGTAGTGATTTCCTGGAGCTCTTTCCGAATGGTATCTGCTCCTTCCTCCTCCTCCAGGTTTTCTGTTGTGTCACCGTCTCCCTGTTCAGTTTTCTTAGTCTGGCTGATCAGCTGTTTCACTACTAATCCTTGATATTTGACTAGCAGAGAATGCTGATCCTGAGGGGGAGAAACCAGAATAAAACAAAGGAGTGTCAATGTTACAGAGCAGGTACTCAGACCTTTAATTAAAAATTAAATTTTTAAAAAAGCTTTCTCCCGTTCTTGCCTAAAGAGAGTTAGTGACACATAAATATATTTCCATCAAGGTATTTTGCAACCTGAATTCTGAGTGACATTCAAAGAGGCAGAAAAATGTAAGTACATCCATGCTGCAAGAAAAGGACAATTTACTGAAGCAGGAAACCAACACAGTTAGTAAACACCACCAGTTCTGGCAGATTAGAATACAGAATTTCAGTATTTTTATTTTTGAAGAGTTATATCTTTCTTTAAAACTGAATTAGAAAAGTTTAAAAAGCAACCATGCTCCAGCTGGGAGGAAAGAGAGCGCAAAAATTTTCAGTTATAAGAATTACAACATCCCCCAATACATAGCTGTCTCTATGGATAAAGGCAAAAGCTACAGTACTAATAACAGACTGATTTTTAATTTTATTAAAAGAATATTGAAGACAGATCCCTGAAATTATGATAGGTTTGAAATACAATACAAATCAGAGAAACTATATATTTGTACATAAAGTAACGATCAGACATAAAACACAAAGGTGCTGGTCTTAGGCAGCAGAAATGGTATAAGGCACAACGTTTATGTTCTGGCACAGAAAAAAGGTACTTCCCCCTTAAAATGCTAGAAAGGAATACCTCTGGGATCTTGCCACTTAGGAAATTAATGATCTGTGGTACTGATCTTCCTGGTGCATGAAGCATACAGTGGGTTGAAAACTGAAATAACAGTACTGATGTCAGGTGCAGAACAAGAGCTGGATCTTCGGTGACTTTCAGCTGTTCAATCAGAGCTTGTCTGTGCTGAAATAGGACTTGCCTAAGAAACAGGAATACATTATATAAAAATATGTTTCTCGTTCTGTCTTATAGTAGTCGATAATTGACTCTAAAACATATCTAACTTCAATTAATTTTAATTTGCTCCTCTGACTGACCATTTCTTTATGTGAAATTCCACATTAAAAAAACCCACCAAAAAAACCAACACTGGTATAGCTTAGATTTTGAAAGCCCCCTAGAGAATCTCTAAGCTACGTTGTAGCAGTGAGTCAAGCAAATTAACCACATACAAACTCTCTCCTCCTCCTTTTCTGATAGAATTAGGACTGCTTGACTTTGTATTTTTCAGTTAAACAGTTTGGAAAGAAAGACTGCCTCTTACACATCCTGTGGGACTGCTACCAATCTAACCATCTAACATTTGTTCAGCAAGAGCACTACATTTCACATACTGTCCATAGAATAAATAAAATTAAGGTACCTTTCCTTCTTTTTGTCTCCTTTTTTCACCATAATACCACAAATATCCACTGCAGAATCAATGTATGAAAGAAAATCTTCTACACTCTATTAAAAAACAATATAAATATTTAATCTGTGTTAGCAGATTATAAAAAAAGTTAACTACTGTTCACAATTAATCACACGAATGGATGACGGTGAATACATTTGGAATAAACTGTGGAAGAAAAGAGAAAATAAAAAATATTTAGTAGAAATTAACTTTATTCTTCTTCCAATAGTTCATATACTCAAATCGTAAAACAAACTATAAATCATTAGTCTTAAAAATTGAATTAAAAAAGGAATACAAGTTCTACAATTATTTACTGATATATTTTTTCTTAAGAAACAGATCAGTTTGGCCTTTTCCATAAAAGAATTAATAAATTTCTTTCCTTTGTATTTACACTGCCATAATCTGAAGGGTTTTTTTTAAATACTGAGGATTTCACTAGTTAAGAAATACACAGGAGAACAATCAGGAACTTCATAACAAAATACAAGAAACATAAATCACTTTCAACTGCAGATTCTCTCTCTTTTCTCACCTGCACGTAAAAGACACACAGGATTCCGTCTGGAACCAAAGAGCTAGGTGACTATCAGTATCAAAATGCAAGATCACTTTTTCACCACTTAAAATTGACAGATATGAAAATGTACTTACTCTCACTGACTTACACAAATTCAAAAGATGACTTTGCCTTCATCCTTCACAGCAGCAGCAGTTATGTACTACACTATGTCTGTCAGCTGTTTATTAGCATTGTATCAGCAGTATGGAAAATGTGAACTTAAAGATTCTGGATCACTTTACCTTGCCATTCAGAGAAGTATGCAACTTAGTTAAAGGACCTTTGGTGTCTTCGGTTAATTTACCTAAAATCTTGGTCCGGACCTGTATGAGAGAAGAATGGAAATAATCTGTAATATTAATTACCATTTTAGCTATAGGCATATTTAAACAGAAGAGAATTAAATATTAAATAAACAGCACTGATCTACTTGAGACTGTTAAAAAGGAACTGTTATCTGTGTACCTCACTTGTGATTGTAGAATAATTTTCTGTTGTCATCATTGAATCGGATGCTAGGAAGTTGAAAATAAGATTTGTAATGTCTGTACAAACAGTCTTCAACAGGTGTTTGGCAAGGTTAGTCTGCGTCTCATCTGTTAAAAAAAGTGATTAAAAATAACTTCTTATAGTTATCTGATTCCTATGACAGTTATCACAGCACTTGCTAAAATGTGGACTCCATCAACCATGAGTAGTATGAGAAAGTTTAGATACATGAAGCTAACATCTCTCATTTGCAGTTGCTTATGGAACATTCTTCAGTGAAAAATGTGAGCTTTCAGGTCTGTAAGTGCATTTTAATGCACTGTTAGTATTTCAGAGGTGTATTGGTAAACTAGTCCCTGTACAGTCCTCCTGAACCACTGATGAACAACCACTGCTATCCATCAACAAGTAAAACATATATAAAGGAAAAATCTACAAGACAAGCAGTTGAACAGAAGAGCAGGCACATGACTTAAGACTGAAACAGCAAAATTTTAGAAAAAAGAAGCTATGGAATACATGTACAAGAACAGAGGCTAATGGGAAGCTAGTCCATTTATTCCTAAACAGGAATATTGGGGGGGTTTGCCAGTGTTTCCTTTTGTTATAAGTTTTCTGCACAGAAAGTTCTAGAAGAAAGCTGAATATAGCAGAGAATCTTCGAAAAGTCTACAATATTTTCCTAATGCTACTTTTCTGTCACAAAATAAAGGTAGCTAAAGAAGACACCTTACAAAGTAACCCGCTGCAAAATGAATCTACACCTTTTTGAAAAATTACCATCAAGGAGCAGCTACTTTCAGTATCAATTCTTTCATCAGTAGCACAGGTGATAGAATGAAGTAAGCTTGCTAATTTTTTTTTAATTATTTTTTCCCCCGGACAATTAAAACTGGGAAGGGATGCAAACACTTTGGAAGGAAGGACAAGAACCCATAATTATCTTGACAGAAGATGTAAGAGACTATGGATATGAAATAAAGAGAATGTATTTCAGTAAGTGTGCAAAGCAATGCACTCCAGCATAAGGTCAGTGTTAGGGAATGTAAACACATCTCTAAGGTTTTCCTTTTTGAACTGTTGCTCTTCTTTGACCTTGAATGTAGATTCTGGAATAAATTCAACATCCTTGAAGGAGCACATACATTTTTTAGAATATATATTTATTGTACCTGTGAAATGCTTTATTCCCTTTTCAAATAACCGAATGTTGTTGTACAAGTTTGAGAATTCCTCCTGCAAGTCCTTCATAGTCTGTCTTCTGCTAGCTCCAGAGGAAGATGTTGAAGACGTAAAAACAGAACGCACAACTTCCTGGTAAGATTTTGTTAAAGGTCTTAGAAGAGGCAAGAAGAAAGGAGAAAAAGGGAACATTAAGCAAAATGTAAAACTGTAGAAATATACCAAATATATCAGCAATATATATCAGAAATATATTCCAAATATATCAGCAACAGAGAAAGCTACCGCATTACCCAGTAAACGAATGGGACATGAGTGCCACAGAATGGTGAGACAAATAAAAAGCAAATAATTGAAATCAGAAAAAAAGCACTAGGAAATTGAAATGTACTTTTGTAATTGCAGAAGTGCTATTGGGTACACTATGGATGGTATCAAAATGCTTGCCAAGGTTTTAACTCATAACAACAACTAAACGGGAACAAGATGAAACATAGAAAAGATTTCCAGAAGCAACGCTATTCGCAAACTCTTTCAGGGGTCTGTGGACAGATTTCAGATCAATGAGAACTGTAAGAGGGGAAAACTTAAGTTGCATTAAAATAGCACAGGCCCTTCTAAAGATGCAGTTACCATCACACTCCAAGTTTATTCAAGCTTGGGCTGTTACAGTCCTATCATGCCCTTTTTGCCCTGAACACACATATTCGTATCCTCTGTTTTGGACGGAACATCTTTTAAAAGAAGTTACTCATCTTTGCACAGGTCAGTTTGCTGACCTAGCTTACTACTCAGTTCACACAGGTATTAGCAGAGCCACAAAAGACAGCGTACATGAACATACATCGACGGCTGTACAGAAGATGGGACTGGTGAAACCCCAACATCAATCAGCCTAAGGAGGTAGAAATACACCCATGAACCTGAAAACATGCCTGCTGACAAAGGACGCAGAACCACCAACTGCTAAGCAGAAGCATTATTTCTCATTACTGTGTCAGCACAGCTTTCTAATACATAAGCAAGTAACACGGAGCTATACAGAAAAAGAATATCGTGGCTCACTTTCATCATCAAAACATTTCTTTCTAAGCAAGAAAATAGACTGAAGAGAAGATACATCTGAAGTGAATCACAGACATTCTAACTCCAGTTGAATTACTGCAATTACCTTATTAGATGTTCAGCAAGTTCTGTAATAAGCTCTTCAGGGCAATCCTTCATGTGGGTCTTTAAAACATCCTGAATTTCCTCTTGTGATATGAAAGGGAACTCTGGCTGCTTATTTCTACCTGTAGCGGCCATTGAGCAATATTAATTGAGAAAACATGATATTTAGTTTTGCTGCAGTTACTCTGCGGCATGAGACATTGAAATGCCTCAAAGTCCAAACATCCACAGAAGTTATCCATTACCAACAATATAAAAAAAGGGATGACCACACATGACAATTAAATTTTTACACGTAGGAAAAAATGACAAAATTTCTTTTTTGATCACTTAGAAGTTATTTTCTGTAATAGACAACTTAAGTAGTATAAGAGGACATGTATTTTTGGTGAGAGATTTCAAACTGCCTGGTCCATCCATTAGTTTAGAAACAATAATGCCACCAAGACCAAATAGTTTTTTTAAAATGCCAAAACTGAATAGAACATTCCTATTTGAAGGATTTCACAAGGTGGTTGTGGTTATTTTTAACCCCATTTAGTAAGCTACACAATCATGTAACAGACTATCCTAAACTTGAGGTTACAGTATAAAATGTGAGACAGAAGAATTTGAGAAGCAAGAGTATCAAAACAGACAAGAAGTTCAAGTAATAAAATCAACTTACATGCTGCTTGTAAATGCATATGAATAAATGCATCTGTATTTTGGTTTTGGACAAAATATGAAGTTTGTGTGCATGCTGCAGAATTTAGTTTTTACATATAAGAATGAAAACAGGATGATGACAGGGAACCAGAAAAGGACAGGCATTCCATGTTCCAGATGCAGCATAGAACAGGTTTACTCTGCATATAAGGTAACTGAATGAATGGAAATCAATGATGTTCCTAGTTGTGCTACAGTAGCAATGAACAACATACAAGGCTATATAAACAGGTGGAAAGGGAGCTTAAATCAGGTTCTTATTTATAGGAGGGGTCTTATTTATATTTGAATGGCTACATCTGAATTTATCTTCGGATTTTGGTTCAGTTTATCTATTACAATACAGCAATACAAGCAGCAACAATTGTAAAATGTGAAGGGCTACATCAAAAAAAAAGGGTGATTTAACACTTAACACACAGTAACGGACCAGTCTTGAAAAATCACTTCATTTACATGTGAATTACAGATATCTATAAGAGTAGTATCATACAAAATGAAGATGCTGTACTTCACAACTTCAAATGTCATGTTTAAAAGTATTTTTCAGTCAGTATTGGGAATCTAGATACTATATATAAACAGGAAGTACACATTACTGGTAATCCGTCAAATAAAAGAAATAACACATAATTATGACTGTTTCATTTGCAACCACTGTTTGCTAAATGTCTAACGATGTAGGTGTTTACTTCTGAGGAAGCCATCCATGCTCCTTCTCCTAACAGTAAAGGTAGAGAAATGGGCACCAGTAGGGAGCAATTCAAAGTCATCCTCTAATATGCATCTAAAATGAGCAAGACAGACTAGGCCTTCAAAATACCTACCTTCCTCCATTACAAAGTCAATAGTTATAAAGGCAGTTAGCTCATATGTAAAAGTTTCAGTTAAGCAAGATGAATCTTATTTAAAATATTAAAACTTTATTTTGACTGTACATTTTAACTGTATGAGGAAAAACATCTAAGTACTGTTTCATTCGTATGATTTGTTTATTCAAATTAATCAAGCTAATTAAGCTTTGGAATGGGATAAGAACTCCATTTATTGTACAGTATTCAGCAGGTGTTAGGAAACCAAGTACAATACCCATCCCAAAATCTAAGGCTTTTCTTACATAAAATCAAACTAAAAAACCCCCAACATCATCTGGTCTCCTTTCCTTTACTTAAATTTCTGGTTTAAAGACTAAGTTATACTTTTCAGTGAACATGGTATGTCCATTTCATGTAAGCAACATCACATCCACTGATACAATTCCAAGTAAACAGTATTCTCATTTTTGATATTTTACCTGACCTTATCAAGACAGTGTAGAAGAACAAAGATGTAGAAAAGCAAGTGATAAAAACCTGTCAGTATGAATAGATAGTGCCCAAAATAAAATGACAAACCAATGCTAGTTGCTTGGGACTCTTCATCGCTGTCAGCATCCTTTCTTCCTTTTTTCTTGGTTTTCTTAATCTTGATCTCTCTAGCATTACCACCTCCTCCTCCTCTCACGCTTCCACTGCCCTCTGGTGGAGAATTATTTGCTTAGTATACAGTAAAGTTCTAGCCCTTAAAAAGTTTACAATATTATGGTAATTTATCTTCATTACTTGTTAATGATGAATTTAACAAAAACCCAACCTAATTCTAAATGTAACCTAGAATACACATTCCAGAATCTTAGGGCCGTAAGTTTCACTCGTAGTAACAGTAAGCAACTGAGTCAAAGCTCTGTTTACGTTAATGTCATTAATAAACACAAATACTAATTGTATCAAATGTATATATTAAAAAAACTCCCAAACAGTGTATTTTTCCAGCTGAAAACGGATGAGATACCAGTGTCCATAATGTAACGGGAGAATTTATGTTGGCTGAAAATAGCATCTTAGTAAGCATCTTAGCAAGCACCTTAGCATTTTTATTCAGTGATGCTGAATAACGTAGCTACTCAAAAATAATCCAGATAATGTAACTTTGTTAACTTTCAGAGAAAGAATCCTACATAGTAAGCATTTATCCAAAATATTCTTGGAAGCGTGCATTCAATTAACTAGAATACTAATTCTTTTTTGACTCTTCCTGGATGACCTTAAAGCAACGAGATGTTCCAGTTCTGACGAATGTAACGAACTACTTAGTTCATAGGTCCTGTAATCCACGTATTCACACTGCAGACAGGATCTCAATTTGCAATACAGTCCTTTTCCACAAGGTAAGCTGCTATGCTGTTTGTTCCCTTTATCACAGCTTGTTCCTTTCTTTTTTTCACTTGAAAGAACTTTATAAACTCCAGAATAATTGTTTCTATACATTTTTCCATTTAAATGTAAGGTCCAAGATTTCAAGTAACTACATTACATAACAGCACTATCATTTAAGAAAAGGAAACACAAAGACAAGATGCTACTACTCACAAAGCTAACTGCATCAGTTATGTTAAGATACAGATGGATTTTTAAGCATTACTTTGCAGGAACAACAAATTAGTTGACTTGCAGCTAGCAGTGGATGGTGTACTTGTGAGACCTTCTGAGTTTGTGACCGCTCAAAAAAAAAAAAAAAAAAAAAGAATTGGTGTTTTTCACAAGCTTATTTGAAATGTGACTGCATTCAGCTGAGCAGATATAAGCTGTTTGTCAACTGTGCAATACACTAGTTATTTTGGAAACAAGCTCCCTTCAGTCTGTATTCTACTTTACAGCCATATAGAAAGAGCTGCAATCTTCAGTCAAGATCTTATCCACAGAGAGATGAGGCAGGAGAGACTACTGCCAGAAAAGCCGTATTTTATGACAACAGGATACATTGACTGTAATGTACACATAGGATTACAAGAGTACATCCTTCTACCAATACTTGTTCGGAACACTGTTGCAAATGGTATTATAAACAGACAATGGAGAATTTATCTTGAAAGTTTTCATTAATCCAATACATGGCAGATACATGGCAGAATCCAGATTTGTAATGAACTGCATTAACACTACATCATGTCAGGTTACACTTAAACAGCAGATATTGATATAGTCACACACAGACCTTAAGATGGGCAATGTGACATTGGCCACACTCTGCCATTATGCAGTAACAACACCTAATCCTTAAACCGTGATGTTGATTGTTTTAAGGCAATACCCCTAACGGTCCATAAAAAACCACTTCATGGCAGTGCTTGCTGATGGTGCAGCATATGTTACCTGTGGATATGAATGTGTCTAGACAGGTAGTACATGCTCAGTGGAGTCTCGCTCCTCAGAGGGCTGGAAACTGAAGTCATTCTATTTATGACAGTTCAATTAAAGTTCAAGTCTCTCTGCTTCAGCTCTGGCCTAGAAAAATCTGCTGTCTCTTGTGGCAAGAGTAAGTTTAGATTCCATGCCAACTCAGTTACAGCCTTTTAAAGAGTAGAATATAATGTTTTATTTTTCAGATGAGTATATTCAATTAAGATAGACGCATCAGTGCTCTAATTCTGTTACTTTCAGTAGCACATAAAACTGCATGTGAGTTCAACATAGATTACTCAGCTGTGCTATAGCAACCCAAGAGCCACATAAGGTTTTTGGGACTGAAAATACAGACTCTAGGATGAATAATGTTTTAAAAACCAGAAATATTTGAAAGGCTTAAACCCACACATTTTTATTCTTCCTAAGATTAAGATCTATTCCAAATAGCCACCACAAAAATGGAGTAAGGTTTGGGATTAATTTAACCTAGAATACACCTTAAAGTAAACTGTGTGACTCTCTAATAACTGTTATGTGTGCAAACAACAGAAAATTGTCTGGCATGGGATTCTCAGAAAAGATGTACAATATTCTCCAAAAAACCCCATCTTAGTACCTCATTTCTCAATTTTGACAGAGTGATTTTGAAAGTAACTTCTCAAGACTATGAAGAAATATTTTTGTTTTCCTGGATCCCTGAAAAGTGGAGAGTAAGAGTGTATCTATACTGTGTAAATAAAAATGGTACAGAGATTCCCAAGCTAATACTGGTTTGGTCAGTCCAGAGTGAACAACTCAATCTTATGTGACCGTACTGTACACACTAATAAACGAACACGGATTCCTTGCTTCTAAAGCCAGCTGCGTTGTGTTGGATGAACTCCAGATATCTTTATGGTACTTCCTCTGCACTTCTAATCTGAAATTAGTTCTTATGGATGTAGCTCAGATACATCTACACCTACACCTACAGTATAATGATGATAAGTGGATGGATTATTTCTTAAATATATTCAGCAATGGACTGGAGGTGCGAATGGACTACAAAATATAGTAACTTTTTGTTTGAATATTTCCGAGGCTAAACAAGTCTGGTTTGTTTTTTTTTTTAAGCTTAAGCTAAATATCGATGTCTTACCTGCTGCTTTCTTTCTTCTTTCATCCTTTTTGTCTTTTTTATTAGCATATGAATTCTCTAAACCAGAAGCCTGCTTTAAATCTTCTTCAGTGATTAAATTAACAGGGTTATTTTTCATTTCCTAAAATTAAGAACATGCATTTAATAGCAAAAAGATACACACAGCAACAAAAGATACATATGGAAACATTTAGACCATTTGGCCATTTTTAAGTACAGTAAGCTAACACCATGTTTTCCAAGTGCAACACATGAAAAGACATTTCTTCTTCTCTTTGAAATTCAGCACCTGATCATACTGTTAGTGTGATGGTGTTCCCTGAGTGCAACTGAATATACATTAAATTACGCTGGTTACATATACAAACCTTTTCTTAATTTCTGCCCTTCTTCTCAAGCTGTATTTCAGATGAAATGTAAAGAGACAGCAACAGCAAACAGAAAGTCACATACACTGTACTCCAACACTCAATGTATATTGCATCTTGACCAATAAAAAAAAACCCTGTACCTTTTCAGCCTTCTGTTGCATCATGTCAGAAAATAGATCAGCACAGCTGTTTAGAAATTTCTCACTGACCACAATGGTGTCACTGAAGACTAAACCTGAAGAATTTTTGTTTAAAGATCTCATCACTTGCTGAAGCAAAATTCCAATGTCTTCTACTGACAATGAACTGGGCAGAAGAGTCTAGGGTAAAGAAAATAAAAATAATTTACATAAAATAAGTCTGTTCTAGAATGGACATACATACTTGTATGTGGGTAGATAGAATCCACAGACACTCCATTTGACATCAGTTAACTACTTAGAATATATTGCACTTTATAAATTAAACTAGTGATTTTTAAACACTATTTTAAATCTTGTAACATCCCAAATCACCATTACTCTAGAGTATGTGTTACACCTCGGAAAAGGCATGGCAACGTCCTTAAAGTGCAGCTCAACAGATACAGAGTAACACCAAACACAAAACAAGAGCAGGCCTCCTTCCAAGCGACAAAGTAGTGCTGTAAGGCCTAAAAGTAGGATTTAGCCAGGACAAAATGGCTAATATCCCTCTGCTTACTGAAACTGTGATAAGAATTCAGTTTAAACTGTTTTCCAAAAAAAAACCCCACAGAAATATATTGCTTTCTAGCAGAACACGTTAGCACTAATTTTGAAATGAAAGTTAATCTTAGCTTATCTATCAACTGAATACTGATATGCCCTTCCCATGTTTTTGTTCAGACCAACTTAAAGGCAAGTAACATCTTTTTAGTTGTTATTTTACTTAAACTGAATATTCTTCTTTGACAACATGGAATTTTCATTATACATATACGTCGTTTCAATAAAGTATCATTTGACACAAAAATAAGACAAAATAAATAAATCCAACAACTGAAAGGATTCCTTACTGCTACATCTATCCAGTTTCCAGAGCTGATGGCTTCCTCTACAGAGGCTTCAACTTGATCCACAATTTCTTGACCAACACAAGCTGCTCTCAGAAATAAGAGTTGTGTGGACTTGTATCTTTTTTTAATGTAGCCTGCTGGGTCAGGGATGCCAAGTCTGTACAACGCATCAAATTCTATAAAATAGTTAGATATCTGTTACGTTTCAGTACCTTCATATGCATACAGGATCTTATGTGGTAATTTTTTTTTTGAAAGCAGGAAATGAAGAATTACATATAGTTTTTATACAAGTAAATGCAGCCTCAAGCTGATGCTGACCTAAAACTTCATTCAGTACAAGCTACACCTAAACATAGTTAACAGAAATATGAACATTAAATCATGGACATGACTTTAGTCTGACTTTTGGTTAAAAAAATTTTTTTTTCACATTCTTATACCATTACCTTTGTAATTATATCTTTCCAAGTATTCTAAAACAATATGAACAATATTTACAATATATACTATGTCAAAGTGTTTTGTTTTCAAAAGTTACTCCAATATACTCATAGAATTGTGCAAAGCCTCACAAGCAAAGCATTTCAACTATTTGGCAGTCTATACTTAGACATTCTGGAAACATTCAAAGACTCTCAGACAAGCAATAATACAGAAACACTTAATGCTATTACGGTAAATTATGCCAAACCTTTTCAAACTGTAAGACTAACTGTTATTTAGGAACTGGCCCTTTGGGACCATAAGGGTACATTCCTCTGTTTATTCAGTTTCATATTTTCCCATAGCTCCTGTTGTAAAACACCATCATCCAGCATCACTCAGCTTTAAGTTACATAGACTTGTTTCGATTCCAACCAGGACACTGGCGCTACCCACTCCAGTTCTACAAATCTCATTTTGGAAAAGTTTCTTCCTGTGTACTGCACGCTTGGCTATCTGGACCATTAACAGCCAAAGTTTAGTTGTAATCTGGATGCTGGGACTGAAACTCCAACCATGCAGGTCAAACGTGATCATATGAAAAGTCTACAATGAGCAGTCTAAGAAATGTTTTCACAACAGCAGTCTGCAACTCTGTGAGAAATAAAGTCACTGTTTAGTGGTATGGTTCTCTCTGCTGAAATATGATTCTTTCTCATAAAGTAACATACATCAACATAAGCAAGATAGTCTTTTAACAAAGGAGTATCAACTACGGTATTGATTTCCACTTATTCTTGTGAGGCTTCACTCTAGACATTAGCTATATTAGGGTAAGACCAACTACCTAAACTAGCTTTAGAAAGGTATTTTATCTAGGAGAATAAAGATTAATTACCCAAGTAACCATTCTGCTTGAAAAAGGAATCCACCCAGTTGCTCTGCGTTCTGGCATAGATGTCTGGAACAAACACAGCCTTATCCTGTCTCCCACCAACCACGGTGCCTTTCAGACGACCAGTGTTAACAAGTTCTTCTAATACAGCTACAAGAAGAAAATAAATGAAGCGACATTTTCCACTTTGATATAGCCATTAATCAAAACATAACACTTATTTTCAATGTTTTGTTTCTTCTTTTTTCCCCACCCATTAATAGTTTTTCTTTGTACTATTAATTGAAAGAAGACCAAACTACAAGTGCTTGTTCTAGTAAAACATTTCTGAGTTCTATAAATTGTTTTTAACACTTAGGAGAATGTCTTGATAAAAGCTCTGGACATCATACAATGTTTAAAAACAGTGGCAGGATCAAAACACTTTTTATTGAAATATTTATTTTTATATGTATCTAAGCAGTTCGAGCTTTTAGTTTAGAAAAAGTAGTCATAAAAGAATCTTTCTCTGGCCAGACAATAAAATATATGTGCATTTAATTAATAATGGTCTCTTTGAATTCATTGCTTGCCTGATAACAAAGATAGAAAAAAGAGAGATTTGAACACACTAAAATGAGATGAAAAAGTGCTACCTAAATTGCATAAATGTGAGCACCTGTTACTGGTGACCATCTCCACGGTTTACAATGTTCACACTGTTGTTGCCAATAATAACCTCCTGATAATGAACAAATACTGCTGACAAAGAATGAATTGGTAACTGGTAGTACCAAAACACTACGCCTTTCTCAATGCTAAATAAAGTGTTTTCAATCCATTAAAGGCGCACAGGAATATCTGATTTGCCTTCTACGTTCTGCTTTTGCCTTTTCATAAGTCACTAGATAAATTAAAACAAATCAGTGACATCAACTGCCAAGCTCTACTGATTTCCAGAGCTTTGCCAGATGGCCTTTTTACCTTCGGTTCGTGTTGATTTGTATTTCATTAAAAGACAGATTTTTACCCTGGAACAGAATGTTAAATGGTATCACATGGCACAGCTCCTTCCTCATAAAATATGAGTTGCAGTCAACATTTCAACATGCTTAGTACAGCATATGGAGGTTTAGCTCACCTACACAGAAAAACCTGGTTCCAGAAGAAATACTACATTTTAAACCATGATTTTTTTTTGTCAGATATGCCCATAGTGTAGACAAATCTCTATAAGCTAGCAGCTACTGAACATGACTGCCACTAACAAAGCTGAACAGTAGTTACACTGAAAAAATGTAGAAGAAAGAGAAACTGATTTAAACCAGATACAGTTTTACATAATCTAAGACAAGAGCTAGAAATCATGTTCTGCCATGGTTCAATTACCTTGTATAAAATGGAGCTTATAAGACACATTCTGAAAATTTAATTAGACTTTTATACTTATTAAATTTAGCTACCCTAGAAAATAGAGTCAACATGGCTATTCTAATTAAAAAATTGTCAGACAATGCAGTTTGCAATCTCAACTTGGTTTTATTCAAAGTTTTGGGGAAAAAACAGAGTAAGACTTTTATAGGTATTTCAATTCATTTTGTGGAGCACTAGCAAAAAATCAGAGTCTTTAGAGAGAAAGGGGAGAAATGGAGATGCCAATTAATTTTTGTATTATTTTAACTGCCAGTTCTAAAACTCCAGGGCAGAGAAGGTACTTTCACAGGGGATTTCACAGCCCCTACTACAATTATGCCTAGATAGTCTTTTGTTTTAAAACAAAACAACAGGACCTTTGAAGAACTACTCTAATCTCACACGTATTTTTAAAGGTGATTGATTAGTTTGTAGTGTCCTATTAGGTCTCTTAAGTCTGGCAAAGACGATAAGCATCCCTCCATGCCTGTCCTATGTCAGCAACCCAATATTCAGAAACGAAGAACATCTGTAATTTCATTATGCTTTGTAATTAGTTTTAACTTAAACAGTCTCTCATTTCTAAAATTATTTATTTTCTATCATAAAGTCATGTCAGCTTAACATGAGTAGCACCACAGCTACGTGACAAAGACTACTGTTTATCTTGTCTGATACTAACTGTTGATTAAATAATTAGCTGTTTGTAAATTATACAAACAGTACACTGAACTTAATTTTTTTTTTTCCTGGAAGAGACACAAAACTGACAAAGACCACTTTAAACCACATTGCTAATAATGACAAACATAAAAAGAGAACAGTATAAGTAACATAACAAAAAAGATATTTTTCAAGTTTCCAGCATTTGTGGAATTGAAATGGTATCTCAGAAAATGGATAGAATAAAATCAAATGCGTTCTGACAGCGAGTAAAAAGTTCTTTGGAACTCATGAAACTGCAGAGGAAATGAAATACAGTAAGAAAAACTAAAGAAAAAGATGAACAAACTCACTAAAAAAAACAAACAAGAAAAAGAAAGTACTAGAAATACACTTAGGCATTGTGACAATTACTGCTGACAGGAAAACACTAGAACTTCAATTCACATTAACACTGTACATGAGCAATACACGATCAGGCATTTGCAGGGCCTGTTTGAACTGTAACCGCATACTGAAATGTGTTCGGTACTACAACATTAATGCAGTTTAGCAGATTTTCCTTTTAATCTATGAATACCCAGATGGCACATTCCAAAAAAAGAGAAAACCTGAAACTGATTATGTGAAAGTAGAGTGTTTATATGATTTCATTTAAATGCTAAGATTTTAATTTTTAATGAATCAGCTTGTCACAAAGAACAAGAAGGTAAGCAGAGAGATATTATAGTAGAGCTAAAGTGTGCAATGCCCTGAAGGCAAAAAGACCCAATCAAACAAAAGAGAAATATAAACTCTCATGAGAAGAGACAGAAAACCATTAAAGGATTCCAAAGACCAGCAGCACTTGGTCAGCCAGCATACAAGGCTAATGATGCTTGAAGTAGCATTTTGGACAGACGGGAGGGGATTCCTGGTAGTCAAAGAAAAGCTGCAACATTAGAAGCGAGAAACAATTAAGTACTGCCTAAGTTTCAGCAGTTGGACAGTTTATGAATTTCTATTTTAAAAAGGAACTGCAGAAAATAAAAGCAAACTGTTTAAGGATATGCTTTATCTCTCAGCATATAAAGACATTTAACTAAGAGCATCACAAAAACTTTGCCTCTGCTACCACAGAGAAAAGTCAATAAATAAAATCCAGGGCAGTTAATCACAGAATGGTAAGGGCTGGAAGGGACTTCTGGAGATCATCTCATCAAACGCCCTTGCTAAAGCAGGCTCACCTACAGCAGGTTGCACAGGATCGCGTCCAGGTGGGTTTTGAGTATCTCCACAGAAGGAGACTCCACAACCTCTCTGGGCAGCCTGTTCCAGGGCTCTGGCACCCGAAGTTTCTCCTCATGTTCAGATGGAACGTCCTGTGTTCCTGCTTGTGCCCGTTGCCCCTTGTCCTGTCACTGAGCACCATTGAGAAGAGTCTGGACCCTTCCTCTAGACATCCACCCTTTAGGTATTTATAAGCATTGATAAGATCCCCTCTCAGTCTTCTCAAGGCTAAACAGACCCAGCTCTCTCAGGCTTTCCTCATACGACCGATGCTCAAGTTCCCTAATCATCCGCACAACCCTCCGCTGGACTCTCTCCAGTAGTTCCCTGTCTTTCTTGAACAGGGGAGCTCAGAACTGGACACAGAACTCCAGATGTGGCCTCACCAGGGCAGAGTAGAGGGGCAGGATAACCTCCCTCCACCTGATGGCCATGCTCTTCTTAATGCACCCCTGGATATCATTGGCCTTCTTGGCCACAAGGGCACACTGCTGGCTCATAGAGAACTTCTTGTCCACCAGGACTCCCAGGTCCTTCTCCACAGAGCTGCTTCCCAGTAGGTCAACCCCTAACCTGTACTGGTGCTTGGAGTTATTTCTCCCTAGTTCCAGGACCCCACACTTGCCCTTGCTGAGCTTCATTGGGTTCCTTTCCGCCCAACTGTCTAGCTTGTCCAGGTCTCACCGAATGGCAGCACAGCCTTCTGGTGTATCAGCCATTCCTCCCAGTTTTGCCATTTGGCTACATAAAATCTGTTCCCTTATGTGGGCTTCACTGATAAAAGCGCCAGTAACTAAGGGCAAATAATGAAACAGATGACAATATGAGTACCGTTCCTCCTGCATCATTCTGCCTGCAGAGGCATGTCATCAATGTATGCTTTCATTGCTTTAGATACAGAGAACATCTCTTCAGTTATGGATGGCACTAAAGGTTTAGCACTTTTTACACTAGAAAGAAACATATTGTTCTTTATTCCAGAATTGAGGCTATATAGTAAAATGCTTCTTTGAAAGCATACTTCTAGTAATGAAGAATCTATGAATTAACTATGAACTAAGAAAAATACAAAATAGTCTGAATGAAACTCACAGTAAAGTAAATGTTCCTGAAATCCACACCGAGTGATCAAGTTACTTACAGGTGTAGGCCTTGGAAAAAAGAAAAACAAAAAAACAAAGTTAATGACCTGAAATTGATGTGGAGAATCTAGAAATAAGAAGTTACTCCACATGGAAAAAACTACATAGTATCTTAGCCCCAGGGTGCTACATTGATGTTTAACACAGCTTACAAGGTTTTAATATTGAATTACTACGAAGTTGTATCTTATAACCAAGCTACGATAATTTGCTCTCCCAAACTTTTCTCTTCATACAAATTGACACAGAAGATTATTGATTTAATAAGAAAAAATTATCTATAATCACATGTATTATGTAGACATCAATATGTAATTGGCTGGGGAGCAGTAGAATAACAATAAGGATAAACACTCTCCAAACAAATAAAAGAACTGATGATTAACATTTTCTTCAGTCAAAACACTTAAGTATGTTGTATATTGTATATTGTTATACTTTCCTTGCTCTCCTTTTAAAAGGAGGCCCCTATTTCAAAAAAGTGAGTCTAATATAACTAAGTATTTCATGCCAAGAACTGAACTACACTTAAAGAAATCTATCCATAGGTCTTTTTTTTTTTTTTTTTTTACTTTTTCAATCACAGGTGAATTTGGTCCATAAAGACCTATGGTAAAAATATTTTAATATGTGGTTCCAGGTGTTGCAATTTACCGAGTAATCGCAGTGAAGAGACCACGAATGCGTGCTCGATGCCGGGACACAAAGGCTTCTGTAAAAATCACCCCACGATTTTCCTGGTCTAGTTGTCCATGAATAATTCTACCCAAACGCCTGGATAATGCCTGTAAATAGAAGCTGGGATGACTGCTAAAATTGTATATTAACGATGTTAAACAAAAATTAATCAAAAAACTGTATTAACAGATCAGCAAATTAGGTTTGCTAAGACAGACAAAATATTCAGAGATGACGTCCACAAGTGGAAATTATTATTTAGGTATATTGAGAACGTGTGTTACTATATGTAAATTGATGCCATTATGGCCCACACTCCAAACTTCAGGGAATTCAGCTTTCTTAACAATGCCCTCTTCTATCAGATATATGTGTATCTAATGATAAAAGAAAATTTTGCGAAAGAAGTTAAGTATGGTTTGGAAATGCACAATGAAAACTAAAATTTAACATTAGTATTAATTTTGTATGAAACAGTGGCAGAGGAATTCACTATTCATTTTTTCAAAAAGTCAAGACAAAAATTAGCAACAATAAACACAAAAGAAAGAGGTGCAAACAGTTTATAAATGTGCATACTTGCAAAGTGAACTAAACCCAGGAAATATTGCCCAGGAAACAAAGGGAAACCATGTAATAATTTTCATATATTAGAAATGCTTTTGTAGAAGCTGATCATGCAACAAATGTTAGAGGAAATCTCTTCACAAACTGAGAGTCAATAAGGTTGTCTTTTGTACCCAAAATGACTGTTCACCTAACACATGCCACAGGATTACCCTTTGAAAAACAAATCTTCCAAACAAAATCTAACCTTGACTGAAATTCAACAATGGTAAGAGAATTCTCCCTAATCCTTTTAAACACATCAATAATCACTAACAAAGGTAAATAGGTTTTTTTGTTTCTACTCTGAATGTCTGGCTTCAGCTTCTAGAAACAAACGTTTATTTTACCTTTTCTGAATAAACTGAAAGGTCTCTACCATTGTATTTCTGCTTCCTGGGTAGCTAATAAGACTGGTGAAATTACCCCTGTATCTTTAATATTTCAAACAAATAAATTTCCAGATCTTATACTAATCTAACCTGTTCCTAACATTACTAATCCTACTCTGTTTCTAACAGTCATAAAGATTCTGAAGAAATTTTGCCCAGTAGTGAAAAGGCAAACATCAACCTCAATCTGTGAATCGCTGTTACACTGCAACCTTTATGTATCCAATACTTTTCTGCTTAGAATGACATGCAGCTCACCACAATTAAAGCTATGGGTATTGCAAAGATGACAAAAGAAGGTGAACACAATCAATTCTACATTTGCTAGGTTGGTGGTTTGCATTACCTGTATCAGAAAGTCTCCCGGAAGGTCGTATGTCTTGCAGAGTTCCGATATTGTCACCTGGCCAGTTTCCTGTAGTTTATCATTTATTTCTTCTGCTAATTGATCCAGGTAACTCCTTATTTACAAACAAGAAAAAAAATCCCAACACATTAAGTGTGAAATTCAGGATCAACCTGTTATCCACATGATGAATTACTAACTGACCTGCTGCTACACCTCTTTCTGTTGCATCTTTGCAGAAATAAACTGGAAGTTGTTTCAAATGAATAGAGAATGATGTCAGTGAAAACGTGGGGTTTTTTAAATGACTGCTAACCCTGTAGCTAGTATTAAAATGGATCATTTACCTGCTTGAAACTGTCAAAAAGCAGGAAGAGGAAAACATTGTATGTCAACGAGACTTAGAAAAGGGCTTTGGTGAGCGAGATAGGTCTTAATTATTTCAAGAGAGCCAGGAACTTCACATTCTCTGCCAAGAATAAATCCTGCAGCGCAATCAATAGACACAACCCCATAACAGCGTTACTTCAGTGGTTGGTAGTGTCTGAATGCCATGAAATAACTTACTCATACATCTTAGGCTTGTGAGGTAAAGCAAAAGGTGGGAAAAAATAAGAGGGTTTGTCAATAGCTGAGGCAGATAGCAAAGCCACAGAGCAAATGAGATCTGGCTGCTGTACACAAAGACACTGGGTAAGAAATTAAGCCTCTTAAGAGCAGGATACTGGGCAGAGATGTTCAGTAAGGCCTTTGCTCCATGGATTCACTGGATGCTCTGCTGAGAGGCCTCACTCACCATTTGGAAAAGAAGCACTGATCAGTAAGCACCCCTAGTAGCAGTCAAAGAAAATGTATTTTACTTCAGAAGCAACAAAGGCTGGGTATCACTTTTAGTTTGCATTTTAAAAAATAAAAGAAATATGAATGAATGAATGCTCCTGAAAGTACTCACTCATTTATAAGCTGTCCCAGTACAAGCTGAATAGTTTTTTCTGATTTAACGATGTCGTTAGCTCTGTTTTCGATGTGCAGAAGGTCCACATTTATTACCTTAAAAAAAAAACCCCACCAAAATCTCTTATCAGAACTTCAAATTGAAATTAATTCTCAAACACTGAGATATTATACTTACACATTCCTATGTTTTGAGGAAAGTTGCTTTTAATTTTTTCTACTATTGCATATATACGCAGTTAATCTGTGACGTGGACTAAAGCAGTTTAGGGGGAAAAAACTCTCTTTACAATTGTGACAAGGTTAAAAGAAACCTATGTAACAAAAAATTCCAGGAAGTTATGAACAGAAAATACTAAATTGTCTTTCGAAAGTTTTCGTATTCCAAGTAATTTTACTCAAGCCAGAAGGGAAAATTAGTCACAGAGGAAGACTACTGGAGGATAAAGACTAGTAGAGACGAGATTAATGAAGGTAGAGGGAAGATCCAAAGAAGCATGCAAAGTTAATTACGCATGCTCCTGCAGCTTCAAATTTAAATGGGAAATATTTCTTTTCTGTTTGACCCCCTTAGTTTACAAAGGAAGAGCTCAGAAAGAAAATCTGTATTATTTTAATGGTGATTTCAGAGGTTGTAGATTATCATTAAGCGGAGAGGAGCTTTCAACAAAGCAGTACATGGACAGATTAAGTAATCTGCAGTACTCTGACATGAACTACCAGCTTTTCATAAAGTCTTTCTCTTTTAAAAAAATAACTTAGCTGGAAAACAGTTGATGGACTCCATATCTACAATATAGATGGTGAAGAAAATAAAGAAGTATATAGTTTTTTATTACTAAAAAGTTACCTGTTGTAAGTGAACAATGTTTACTCGACCTTCAAAAAAAAGTACAAATATACCTTTAGTATATAAAACATGTTTGAAACACATGTAAAATATAGCATAGTTCATCATGTACAAAATATTTCTTCATTACTTTTTTTGTAGACCTATTAAACCAACTTTAGCTTTATATATTGTCAAATCACAGAAATCACAGGTGGTCAGTGCATATATATGCTATATTGTTCTACCCTATAGACTTGCTGACAATCCAATACAGAAACTCCAGAAGTAAAAACCACTGTTCAAACTCCCTCCCAATTAGTTTTTGCCTTGATGCTGATCTGGATTTGGCCACTAGTCTACAAGTATCAAAATGGAGATTGCCAAAACTTTCTACCTTTGCATGATGCTACTAACAAAATCCAGAAGCTTTAAATTCAATTCAAGCTATCATATTGATATGATACACAATGGCATAGCAAAAACTGAGGCACACTTGTGGTAGTCATAAGAAAATGACTAATCTGTATGAACATAATAAGGAAGTTAATTTTCCAAACACACGATGCTGTGAAATTCACCCTTGAATAGAACTAAAAGTCCAATATAATGCCTTCTCATTAAAACCATTAACAAAAAGCAGTTTTGAGGGTATATGCTTCCTTATATATCTAAGTCAGATCTTACAAAACAGATGACGCTTCATACTGGTAAAATAAAAGACCCGTCAATGACAATTTAAAAATATTATTATTACTAATGATGTGAAAGAAGAATGATTTTGAAATTCTGAGTCAATGCCAAACATCTGGACTAGAAACTTAACCATACTAAAATGCCAAAGTTCCTTCAAAAGGGTTCTTAGGCAACGTCTACCTCAGAAATTCTGCATGGGTTAAAATGAACCAAGTAACATATCTTGATATGCTTACCTATAAGCTTAATACAGATTTGAAGAGAAAATAAAATAACTGTAGGTGAATTTGTAGGTACATGAAGCAATAGGAAGCAAGCTCACTTATTTTGCAAGATTAAGGGTACTGAAGAAAACTTTCAAATTCTTTCTGTAGTCTTCAAAATTAACTTCCAAATCCAGAGGAAGAAAGCCAATGCCACACTTACCGCCACAAACGTGAAGCTCATCCCGGATCTCTCTACTAATCTGTGCTGGAGTGACATACTCTTTTCCATCAAGTGTGTGCACCACTTCCAACTGCTTTTCTGCAATCAGTTTAGTGACAATTTCTATACAGTTCCGTTCTGACAATCTATCAATAGCACAAAGAATGACCAGTTACTCTAAGAAAGTACTTGCTAAAATTATCTTTAAGTTGATGTTTCAGAAATACTAAACACAGGAAATACAATGCAGATTACTTTCTGTTATGTGTGAATAGTTTTTACAACAAAAACCTAATTTCAGGATCCTACTTATTGCCCCCCAAATCATCCATATGGCTTCGCTTATGGGCGTCATCTCTCTAAAACGACTTTTACTCTTTTTCCTGAACAGCTGTCAGCCCCTTTTGCTGTAAGATTGCACCTGCCCATGAATGGGCATGCTTACAGAATTTGGGTCTTTGATACTTCTGTGCTTGAGGATTTCAGTGTGGTTTTGGGTTGGGGTTTATTTTGGCTCTGTGGTTTGCTTTTTTATATGTAAACAACAAGTTCTGAGCAAGAACCTAAACCGCTCAACAACACGTAAGGGAGAAACAGACGATGTTTAGCCGTGACGATGTTTAGCAGCCTGAGCTTAACGGCGATTACACACCCATGCACTTTCATGCACCTGCATATGGGGAGGCCCTAGACGTCCCTTCGGGCCCACAAGCACTGACACGCAGGTCAGCGCCAGTCACAGGGGCAGTGCGCAGGGGCAGTGCCGGGGTGAAGCCCCCG